TCAGAGGTGAGCTCCTGCCCGCGGTGGTGCGTTGTGGATAAACAGGACTCTGGCCCTTTAAACCTCAGCAGGAGGTGGTGCTCTCTGGGCACATGGGGGGGGGGGGGGGGGGGGGGGGGGGTGAAGTTGAGAGGAGGTGGAGGAGGAGGAGGGCCGCTTCATGCGCCACAGTATACCGACGCTGGAGCTCCGACACGGCGGGCTGTCCTGCTCCCACTGTCCCGCGGAGGAAGCTGAACGTCAGGACGGATTCTGTGCGACACGGAAGCTTCGCCCGGAGTTTCACGGAGCCGCTTTCCCGCGTGCACGGAAAGTTACCGGGAATATAAAGTGGAACTTTCCCCTTCGCTTGGCGCGTAAAGGTAAAACATGTCTCCCTGTGTGACTTGTTTTTTGGACTACGAGCTGTGATATTCTCCTGAGTTTTGCGACATCCTGTTGTGCTAGAAGTCACGTGTGTGACATAGTTGTGTATAATGTGTGTGTGTGTGTGTGGTCAGACAACATGTAGGTCGAACGTGTGTGAAATCTGCATCTCATTTGAATGTCAGATCTGCCTGTGCTCCGGTTAGTGTCCTCCAGCTCCTCTCTCAACAACAAGGAGCCCCCTGGCGTCCCTGCATAATATCCTGACAACCACAGCTTCTCTTTTAAAGACAATATAATAAGATTCAACTCCCACATCAGAAGACAAATAACGACACGAATACACAAGTTCAAAAGCAAGAAGCAAATAATAATAACACACTTTCACTTGTATAACATGTTAATATCCCGCAGCGTCCAAAAAGTCGAGCTTGACAATAGATTCTTTGTTTCTGATTGTACTCTGAAAGTCTCCAGCTCTTTTGTAATCTGAGTCAAACTTTAAAGTTGTTTTTCCCCAGACATCCACTCTGGATCATTGCCGTGAACTTGTGCTGAGCTCCTAAAAACTTTTCCTTATTGCTGTGGATGTTCTGAGCAAGTGTTAAATCAATGACCTGATTGGATTTAGCAAGAAATCCTACTTTGTTTAATACATAATGAAATTATATAATGTTTTCGATGCCAGAACCACAATGTGCACATGAAAGGAGCCATTAACTGGCTTAAATGGAAGCAAAAGTAAACTATTCCACATTTTAGATCCTCATTAGGAGTCCCCAAGTGTAAACAGGCCTCTAAACTTCAATCACTTATAACTTCATTTAGTTTAGAGATACCTAGTTGTGAGAACTAGGTTACAGGCTCTGAAATAAGTGTTCCAAATATCTATTTTCAGCTGCAGAGCAGGATATGTTTTAATCAGAGCAGGCAGATGGACTTGGAAGCATCAGTTTTCTCTGCTGAAAGTAACGAAGATTAATACTCAACACAATAAGCAAAATACTGAGAGCCGAAGAAACTACATGACTACTTTCACTGCATCCCTTGCTCCCAAATTCGTCCCGCTTCTGGTTTTATTGGTGGGTGGTTCCTGTTGGTGTTTACAGACCTGGCACTTTGCCTCTCATGGTCATCATGCCTGATGAACTGGGTAATTTACTCCAGAATTGCCACCGTGGCTGTATACCTGCCCGGCCTCATTCATCATGCTGTAACTGAAGGCCGTAGAGTGTGTACTTGACTTTAACTACACTGACCATAAAGTCTGCAGGTCCGTTTTATAACAGTGGGTTTCAATTTTTATTTTTTTCCCCCTCACTCGGCATCAGCAATCAAAGCTGTGTTCTTGTTAAACTGTCAGTCTGGGCAAAAATAGGAGGACGTAAAGGCTTGGGTTTGGTTTTTGTACGTCTGTTGCCCTTTGACCTCCTCCTATACACACACACACACACACACACACACAACCACACCCTGACAACAGCCCTAAGGTCGGTCAGTTTTCTTTTGCTTGATGAATCATTTACCCAACGCTGTGCTGGTTGCTCTGTAATGAAGGGAAATCAGGCAGTTGCTCCACTGACTATGCACCTTGAAGTTGACTGGAGAGATTTATACCAAGGTCAGAGTCCTGCCTGGTTGCAATTCACATCAGCACAGCCACTTTTCCTGACGTTCACTTTGCCTTTCTGTGTCTTTTTCCAGAGACTAAGTGGTGCATTGCACACTCTAGGCCTCTCAGTTCTTTCTCCATTGATGCCAGGCAGATCTCTCCATCAAGATCTATTGTGTGTGCTGTACACTCAGAGGGAAGGGGAGTACGTGTGTGTGTCATCTCTGACTGTGCTTTTTAAAATATATTGCTATTTCAGTTGGCTCTGGAGGATACTGCTGCTGCGCAGTGAGGAAGTTGGCTACCTGCCCAACTCCGAACGCACTGAGGTCATTACAGTTTTATTCTGGAAAGACTGTGCTGGAGTGGGGGCTGGGGAGAGGCAGTTAGACTCATTTGCACTCATGAAAACGCTAACTTCAGGCTGTTTCACACGCAGTCCGTTAAAGTGGAGAACGTTTTCCTTGTCAGTTATTTCATTAGTGTGCGTCTAGATGCCAGATTGTGTGGAAGTTTAATGGAGTGTAAATGTGCCACTTGTGTTTATATGAGAATAAGCATACAGACCAGTTAACGGGAGTCAGATGTGATAACCTACATTTGCATTTCATGTTGTTACTGCTTCCCATGCCTCAGGAAATGCCTATTTAAATAGTTTGTGGCCTCAGTAATCCACCCACCTTCATCCCAAGCTCCATAGGAGACCAAGGGGGAATGATGGGAGAATGTCTTGACATTTTGGTCCTCTGAATTGGTTTTTGCTCCAATTATATGTACTGTGCAAAAGGTCATACAGTTGTCAGGGGTCGACTCAGTGAGGAATCTGTTTTTATGAATAATAGTTTGCATGTTTCTGAGTGTTGGTGATTATTGTCGAGGGAGAAAGTTTGGTTTGTGTTGTTGCTCCTGAAAGAATACATTATGAGGCTAAATCAGAATTTAATCACGTGTTATTAAATCGTGGAATATTATGGAAATAATCTCATATAATATAATATTATTACATTACTGGCAGGGTGACAGTGATGCACTGCAGAGCTCTGTAGATTCCTGATATCTGTTAGTATTCATAGCTTTAAAAGTGAAGGGGGTGTCCTTTTCTCTGCTGATGATTCTGGAGAAACTTTGAGGCTCATGTGGAACTGGAGTGGTTTTTCAATTCAGTCCTGTGGTTCCTTAAAGATATTTTGACTTGTGTATTCAATTGTTAAAAAGGTCAAGTCTGTCTATTGTTTTTGAGTCAAACCTTCGTGACAATCTGTCAACAGTCAGGGTTCAGCTCTCTGTTACTCAAACGGAAAGCCCAGGCCCTTTACAATCCCATTTCACAACAAACTTATCATGGCTGTTCCAAGAAGAGGGGGCCACTCTCTTTTTCTTTTGTGCAACAACCCGCATGCACTTGAAACTCCGTCACTCAGTTGTGCGCCTGTTTTGGTTACGAGTGTAGCATGGTTATTGTGGACTGAAAAAATCCAGTTCAACAGGAATTATTTTCCTGAGAAGAGTAGTAGCACTCCCAACTGAAGTCATTTCCTTCCTGCCAACACCTTAGACTTTAGTTTGACTCATCAATTCTTAAAAATGTGCCTTGAAGTAACAGTTAATAAGGTTGATTTTGCAGCACATCACTGTCACTCTACAGCACCTGTCACTTTACACATCCTGAGCTCCTCTGTTAAAAGCCGGTAAACAGGTTTTGATAATTATCACGTCGGAAGGTGAAGGGAGTTCCACTGACGTTGAATGTGGACAGAACATCCTATCTGATTTCAATTTTATACAAGAACATCATGATCTGTCATAGGGAGGCACACCTGTCCTACTTAAAAGAAATATACGTGATCACACAGACATGTTTGGACAGAAGTGTCATAGCTCTGTGGTTTAGACGTATTACCGAGGACCAATGGGAGCGAATTGAAAGGAAATTTGGGTTATTTTCCAGAATCAAGGACAAATGTTTGAGTTAAGCGTTTTGGAAAAGCTGTAGGAAGCTTGAACTGATCAAAGTTGTTCTTATCTGAGGAGAACTTCATGGTTATCTTGATCATCAGTACATGATCAACAGAGTTACGTCAGGTATGTTTTCATCAGCAGTGGTTGTGAACACAACAACTCCCATGATCCCACGCTGAGTCACAGTGTCATCAAACCAGGTCTTTTGTAATTGTTTTGGAAGAGAGAGCCCTTACGGATGAAGTTGCATATTGTATGTTTAATTGTGTAAATAGAACCTTTCTTTGTGGTACTTATCTACCGACATCCAACAGTAGAGTGCAGTCATTCCTTCATCAGCTCTGTCGCCTGAAGCAGAACTTCAACAGAATACAGTTACTTATGATTGTATTAAGTTTCAACCTCGTACCTGTTGTCACTGAGTCAGTAAAACTTTAAACAGCAGAACTTTGGTTGCACTATATGTTGACTTGACTGCTCCATGTGTTGACAGCACATATGGTAGGTGGTGTGCAGCTGGCCGTCCTGGTCCCAGCTTTGCCCTGTTTACAGTCCAGCGAGCCATCATTATTCTGTGGCTCGGCACGGACAGAGAAACAGGTGGTTCCTCTCTCAAGCGTACTGAAAAGACAAAGGAGGGCTGTCGGCGTAACTGGTGGTCACCTCTAAGCTCACAAGATGACAAATTCATGCCGGGAAACTAGTTCAGGAGACGGGAACGGTCACATGAACTGTTGTGGGCTCTTATCGCGCTTGTCTGGTGATGACCCTGTAGGTTTCCTTATGAATAAAGACTCTTTCTATGCAAGCCACTAGAGGACATTTCCAGGTCAGCAATCCACTGCTGTGACAGGACTATGGTGATGGGTTATAATACCTGGATAGATAAGCATCCCAGGCCTTTGTGTTTTTGTATTAAATGAATCAGGGTAAATAGTGGGTCACTTTTGAGACCCAGCTTGTGTGTGTGAGTGTGCTTCCTATCTACGCACATGTGTGTTGTGTTGTTTGGGTGTGCCAGAAGGGTTTGGTTCTCCTCTGCCTCTTTATCACTTTGTTATTTTGTTCTTTGTTGTGCATTGTCTTTTGTGTGACATGTGAAGAACTTTGGCATTCATTTGGAAACCCACAGGGTGTGTTGTACGTATGTGTGCGTGGGCCTGTGTGTTTGTTTTTTTAACTGCAAGTTTAGTTACTTGCGAGCAGAAGCCTTTTTCTGTTTGACCCTTGAACCGGGAGCTGTTGATAGACTTTAAACTTATTGTACACACGCACACAAACGGTTTAGATTTATGAACATATGTACATATTGTTAGCACTGATTTATGGGCCTCCCTAATAAATATCTTTTGCTTGCTTGTTCCCAGGAAATCAAAGTTGCCTTTACATGTGAAATGTATTGCCACGTATTCTACAATGTCTTAT